TTTTTTTCAAGCCATGGTGCAATTGTTGGTTAAGTTTGTTTCTAAAGCTTTTATTAGATCATGCTTGGATATAAGATTTCTCAAGAAAATTTAATCATTTTTAACCAATCACTTTTTTTAACTCAAATTTAACTCAACTCTCGTTGTCTTTAAATATTACAAGTATAATTAAATAATACCAATCTATCATTTTCAAACATCACACCAACTTTTAATAATATTCATCCATTCACATAATTTTAACAACCAATCATTTCACATCATCTCTCTCCGACTTTTACATCAAATCAATTTTCATTATTTTATTTTAAATATTATTTTAATATAAACTCAAAACCTTACTAACAACCAACGATACCACATTTTTCAAAATTAATCATGGGTAATCAAAAAATTCAAACGAAAGATATATTATTCCTCAGCACAAGTTTGCATTTTTTTAAAAGAAAAACTAGTATGACAAGTCCATGTGACTAACAGTTAGACCGCCTCACACAAGAATTTTTTTTTACCAAAAACAAAATTACTATGCAACCAATTTAGTACCAAGACCTTTATAATTCACAATGAAATTCTCCATACCCAACAACTAGATATGGGACAGGTTGGCAACATTTGCTTCAATTTTTCAAATAACATGTAACATAACATGATTAAGACCAGTGGATCCAGAAAGAGGGATACCATAGAGAATACAAAGGGACTATTATGGGTAAATGATGGGGAAAATAGTAGATTAGAGAATATAATCTGGGTTGGTTGATGATATTCAATTTCATGCACTTGTAAGCAAAAAATATTATCAAATTTTTCATTTTCTTATATTCACTTGTAAAGAGAGGAAATTTTCTGCATCCTTTCCCAACAATTTCCAGGAATACATATCTTATAATTTATTTCACTCCTCTTACCAATTTCCACTCACAATGACAGCTGGCTAGCAGCCGAATAAGCCAATTACTGAATTTTACATCCACCAGAATCCTGGCCATGGCGAACATTGCCATATGCTGACAACTCGAGAAGGTCCATATCACGACCTGAGCCAGAGAATGGTAAATTTGTTGGCATGCATTGTTATTTTCTAATCTCTCTATCTCTCTATTTCAAGATTGATATTCCTCATGTAACTAATAACAAAATGTAGAAGGGAATTACCTGACACCCGGCAGTAAGCACTTTTCTGAATAAGATCACTTTTGGACATCTCAGTTCGGTTTCCTTTGGATCGATTAACAGTTGCCTAGAATGTGATGCAAAATCTGCCGTCAGACTTGATTTAAAAGATGATATTATCCCTTAACAAGTACTGTTTGACACTTGGAAAAAAGCTAATAAAGCATTATTTAGAACTATTTTTGTGTCACTTTGTGCTTCATTGTTCCCCATTTAACTAATATATTGAAGAACTAAAGATGTCAAGGTGCACACAATTACATTCATATTCATATTCTTTAAAATATGAGATAACTGCTTCAGCTGCAATATATCAACTTTATTATGACAATTATGTTTGTTTTTTTTTTTTTTTTCAAGAAAAAAACATTGCCTAATCATGCATATTTGTACTTCAAGAATGCAAATAACACAACCACCTGAATCATAGCACAAATGACCATTGAAAATATCCTTGTCTAAAGAAGGTTCGGCAATAGAAAAACTGGACAAATTAAACTCTTCTGCTATAAATGTGAAAGGCATTACAGTCTATACAATCAAGGCAAAGTGGTCAAAGTGACAAAGTTCCAAGTAATGAATCACAACAGAGATTAGGGAAGGCAACAGCATATTGATGGAATTAACTAGAGCTATAAGATAATAAAATCACGATACCAATAGAAACAAATGGAGTCACTGAGTTGATACAGATTTTGAAGAGCAAGATCGAATTCCTTATCTTTTTATTCACACTAAAAATTTATATCACAAACTAGGCTGCAACTAGAATCAAATTCCTCCCTCATGCTAAATAAAATAACTCTACAAGCAATAAGATTAATTTATTGTGGAAAAGTGATTGAAAAGAGCGAACGGCCATCTATTAAAAAACTTGAGAAAGAAAAAGAAAGAAAAGGAAGAAGAAGATGAAAAAGATACAAAACTGCAATCAAATTACGAAATCAAAAGATTACCTGCAATACTTGACAATTCTCTAATGTGCTCTTCCCACCCTGCAGATAAAAATTATTGAATTTACATAAGCGGTTCCATGAAGGATAGCATTCCCCAGAAACAAATGTTGGTAAAAAGGAAAATGGCATATATCAGTCACCAGGCTAAATTTACTTACCCTACATAACAATTTTGATACAAAGAAAGGAAGTATCTTTCAATGCAAACACACAGAATTCTACGACCATAGTCCATGAAATGCTAAAGAGAAAAGAATACTGATCTAACGAGGAGTAGCAGGCTGATTATTCCTACCTAAAGTTGCACTACTTTTCCTTTCATTTTGTACTAATTCTGGAATAATATAAGGGTTGGTACTAACTATATCCTTACAAGTGAAAACTAATCAGAGGCTAATTGTCAGCGAATAGAACTTATAGCAACGAAAACTAAAATAACTGAATTCAATCAGTTCTTGCCCAACATTAATGAGTCCTTTTCAGTCATCAAATCTTTTTATGTTACATTACAACATTCACGTGCGGAATAAAGAAAGTTTCAGCCACTTTTACAGGGTACTTCTCTGCTCATGTAGTTCATACCATGATAATACCATCCAGTCACTATTTTCACTTTTTTGTCATAATCTCATCACAAGACCTTCTTCATGATCCCAACCATATTATACATCCACTTATGAAAGAATACTCGACATCCAGTATATAATCTGCATCATTTCTTAATGATAAACATATATGTAAAAGCTCAGGACTTCATTACTAGAAATGAAATAAAAAAAATACTATGGCAGCTATTAGAAGTGTAGACTAAAGTGAAATCCTCAAACCCACAAAATTCAAGTTCTCGCGAATAACATGCCAATCATTTTGCAGTTTCTTATGCAAATAATAAAAAATCCCAGAGCTTAATTCATGTAATCTTCCGTGAAAGCACACTGATTGCTCAATGATAATGCCCCTGATCTCCAACAGATCATATCATTTACTATTTCACCTCAAAGTAGCAGCTGAGCTTCAAAAATTGCACCTTTATTAAGCATGACAAAACAACAAATTCCCCACAAAGCTGCAATTCAAACAACCAAAACACACATTTCCTACACCCTAAATCCCAAAATACATTTTTTTTAACAAAAATCACAGACACAGACTTATAGACAAAAAAAAAATGACCAATTTATGAAGTACTGAAGAAAAATAAAAAATAACAAATACCTTCGAGTAAGGAACAATGTGATCGTAATCATGGCAGAGGCAACCGGGGCAACCGACGAGCTTCCTGAATAGAATGTTCCCCAGCGGGTCACGGCGCCACCTCTCCGGGTCTCGCCCCTTGATTTTCTCCGCCTTCTCCCAGCACTGCTGCTTCACGCTGTGGGGGAAGCTCCTCGGATTCGGGTTTTCCGGCGAGATTCGGAGGTCTTCGAACAGCGAGAGCTCGTCTATTGAGAGCTCGCGGTCGGCAAGTGAGGCAGCGGAAGATGGCGGGGAGAATGACCTGGTTCGGGTGACGGGTCGGGTCGGGTTTGAGGAGGTGAAGCCTTTCTTGTTCCTCTGGTTTTTTCTTCTGTTAGAGGAATTTGAACTCATTTTTGGTAAAATGGGGGAAAAGAAGATGTTTGAACTTTATGTGGAAGTCGACTCTCTCTTATCCACATAGCTAATCTACATATTAATATCAATCGCATTTCTTTCAAGTGTGTGCCTTCATATGTATTCCATACAAAAATATATACTTATTCTAAAACATGACATTTTCTAATAAGAGTATTTATATTGGTAAAGACATTTTGTGGTTTAATAGTTGGGTCAGCGTAACAGAAGACTTTGCAGTCATATCATATATGAAAAGTTCTACAATAGTGTCGTTGTTTCTAACGTTATCGTATCCTTCATTTTTATCCCAACTAATGTCGTGTAACCTGATAACATAGACCTTGATGAATGCTAGAATTACTTGTAGCATCATCAATGCTTAGATCTAAGTTTACTTAGTTATCAATTTAATAGATTTACTCAGTTGGATTTTCTTCGATTGCACCTCTTTCCGGCTAGGGTTGGGGCAGGTGATGGAGGCTCCCGTTGACGAGGCTCGAGGCCTCTTTGGCTTCCGGTTTCTCTCGAATCTAATGATTTTTAGGAGCTTAAATATGGGTTTGAGTCTCGTCTCCCCACCAAATCTACATAGCCTTTTGAGTTTTGATCGCAGTTTGCATGTTTAGGAGCTCTAGATCTGACAGTCTCATTTCGTCTTTAGACGGAGAATTGACGTGTGTGCTTGGGATGAGTAGCAGTTGCACGAGGTCATCTATAGATGTGGGAGGTTGTATTATACTTTTTGTTAGTAGTTGTGTGTGTGTGTGTGTTTTAATTTTTCTTTGTATTTTTTGGTACTTCCAGCTGTGTCTATGTTATAATAGTCTCCAGTGTTTGGAGTTTTGTTATTCCCTTTATGAGAGTGTTTTGGTAGTAGGTTATTCCTCTTTGTTGTCGTTGTAATCTTAAGGAGATATGGGTCCAACCTTTGAACTGATATTTGTGATGTCAGTTGACATCTCGGATGTACTATATTTATGAGTTTTATATAATATTATTGTTGAAAAAAAAAAGAAAAAACAACTCATATTAAACTTTAATGCATTTTTTCAAATTGGTACTAAAATGATATGGAACCAAATAACTATGAATGATTTATTAAATAATAATTTAAGTTGTATTTAAATAAACTAATAAAGTGGAAATAATAATTATGAATAGTTTATTAAAATAATAATTCTAAGAAAAGACATTTAATCCGCTCATGTCTCAAAATGGACCAAAGTGAAGACATAGTTCATTTTTTTCACGTACTACATCACATAGA